TATATACCAGGAGCATTATGATTATTTACACCCTGTTGATACTCACGTATATGCGAATACCACGGAATATAACTAGAAAGTAGGTTCAAATTTTCCTTATTAGATATTTCATGCCGATACCCACGTTGGAACGACTAGTATCCCACCGCCAGGTTTGTCGCGTGTCACACTACGTGATATATAACCAACCCGGACCCCAAACATACAAACCCGGGCCCCCAAACATACCAACCCGGGCCCCCAAACTCCTCCTGTATTATCCCTCTGTCACACCGCTCAGTGACAACGAACCTTTTATGCGGCAAGGCAGTGTGTGAGTGCCTCGCGAAGCACAGTCTGCGGTCTGCGGTACGGTGTGGCGCTGTGAACCAAGGAACTGGCGTGTTGCGGAACTACGTCGCACGTGTGTGATTAGCCGCTATGATCAATGCGTGCGCACCGACCAACAGCCCACAAGCAAACACTTGCTTAACAATGGAGGAGGTCGTGACACAGAGGACTGCACGACTGCATGACTCGAGCCGGTAATTTGAGGCATATTGAAATAGAGGATTAAGAAAAAAAAAATAAGAAAAAAATGTGTATTAACAATTGTTATAAAAAAAATCCTCAACCCTGATTTCTTTTTACACCTGGCGAAAAAATATTGAAGGCGTCACTTAATTTTGCACCTCTGAGTACTCGGAAAAATACTAAAATACCCTGGAGTACGATTACCACAACCAGTTCCATGCACTACCTACTACCGCTACCACTATGAACATATCCATGCATTGGATAAATATACTGATGCTGCCAGTCGTAGTTATTATACAGTCACTCTTCGCGCGTCAGTGGAACAGACATTCCAACTTCTTTTGAACATAATAACGAAAACAGGTCAGAGCGTTTCCTCTTCCTCAAACTCCAGGGGCTATACTACAAAGATAGGAGCAACACGTTAATTTCAATCGTTGCTGCGAAAACGTGATGCCCCAAGAGAGACAGAGAGATGGAGCCTTTGTATACTCGTCACGTGACGCCGTTTCAGCCAATCATCGACGCGTCATTTTGTGTCGGTGCTCTATTAGGATTTAAGCGTTTCGTTTGTTCAAAGTTATTGGCGGAACGTTTTTAGAACACGTCTCGTCGTGGTTCAACAAGCAGCAGCCGCAACATGCGCACACGCAGACCCTGCTCACGCGGTATATATCCTAGTTGATATAAGAGTTCACCAGCCCCTATAAGCGTGGTTCAAGGGCATCGCCTAACATCGTACATATATATACACGCTTATATATATACACGCATATATATATTAAGCGGCAAGCCAAGCAGACGATCATTCGCTGATGCGCTAGAAATTTCAACTTCCAATCCACTTCGAAGTTTGTTTCGAATCTCTGCACGATGAAGTTGCTTTTAACACGTTCGCTGCTGATCGCACTGGCGCTTGTTGTAAGTATACCCACAATTCTAATGATATTAGCACGCTTCGGTAGCATAATTATAACATCTTTATAGATCGCTATAACTCAATGTAGCCATAGAGGATGTATTATAAGTGAAATTAGGTGACCGCGACTCAGTATAGTTTAGTCTATCAACCTGCGTAAAGAGCATTTGTCTGTGCAAGATCCTTAACATCAAGAGTGCATAATAAAGATCTCTATTATGCACTCTTGTTAACATCAATATAACCTTGTGATATCAGCTAGTGATATCAACTGCAGACGGTAATTTTCGCATGTCCGTGGCCTAACATAGAGTTTCTACATGTTGTCTATTTCTTATACTAAAGTTCACAAAACTCTGACGTAGCTTTCGAAGCATATTTTGTTGAATATCTCCATCAACAAGGTGCCACCCTCACACTTAACCTAAATGATTTCATCTCAGTAATAACGACGTATGAGCGCAACGCTAACGTAAATATTTAAAGAAATATTTTTACCAACGTTTAATTTATTCATGAGAAGACGTTTTGTAGCTCCAAGAAACGGTCACGTATTGCACGATTGTACAGACATTAAATTCTAGTCTCCCGGGCCGCGCCAGGCCAACCTTTTGTTAACAATCACAAACGGTTGCGGTCTGTCTGGAAGCAAAGGTGTGGGTTTTCGAATCCGGAAACGAATGCGTGTTTTTCTTCAATTCGTAACCATTGTGCGGGCTGTAACGTAGTAGGTAAAGACGCGCGGAACGTGGGGCGGGAGGTGGTATAGGAGTGGGAATGTGGTGGAGAAGGGGGAGATGGTGGAGGAGAGCGCGGTTCTGCTGGAGAGGGAAGGTGGCGGAAGGTGATGTAAATATACAAAAAAAACTATCCTGCGTTTGCCACGCCGGGCACAGCTAGTTCTATTTAATTTTTGTAACCGTACAAATTTCGTATTTAGCCTGCATGTAGACGATACATTGCCTAACTGCACATTTTATGTCGAGCCATACGTTATTAGAATACGCCATTTAGAATACGTGAATTATTAGAATAGCCATTACGTTATAAGAATAAAATATTTCCCCGCCCCGATCGCAGTTTTTAATAAGTAGAGGGGTTTCAGAAACGGTGTGCCCGCAAGCTGAGCAAAGTCAGGATAATCTGAATCCACAAGAAACCGGGACACAAGTTGTGCACTATGGGGCGGGAAAGACTGCTAAAAATATCGGGAAGGAAAAAAATAATGAAAGTGTCAATGACACTGTAGCTCACCACAAAAAAGGACACAAATGAGCGAGTGAGAAGAAGTCAGTTTTAATTGAGCAACCATTGACGTATATTATAGAAACGAATAAATGGGAGAACTCCCATTATATACTCTTGATAATTATATGTGTAATTTTTTATGTGAAAATAATAAATAATATTATATATAAATTATAAATAATTTATAAACGATCGGCACACATTGAGCCGCACCCACCCACCACACGTACGCACAACCGCCACACGTATGCACAGCACACGCCACCCCCGCCACACCGCCACAGTAACACACACCGCACGCACCACACGTGCGTACACCGCCACACGTATGCCACACACGCACACACGCAACCCACCCACACGTATGCACACCTACGCACAACACGCACCCACCCACCACGTACGCACACCGCACACACGTATGCCACACACGCACGCACACGCAGCCCACCACACGTACGCCACCACCGCACACTTATGCACACACCACGACACACACGCACGCACCCACACGGTACGTACACCGCCACACGTATGCACACGGCGGCCGCACATGTCACGCCACAACTCGCACACGTAATGCACATCACGCACGCACGCATCCACCACACGCTACGCTACACCGCACACGGGTATGCCACACGCACACGCACGCATCCACCCACACGTAACGCAACCGCTACACGTATAGCACAACACGCCACCAACTGCACCATCCACCGCACAGTATGTACGCACACCGCACAGGATGCAGCGCACGCATGCTGCGTGCTAACGGGAGTAGTATTTCAGCGATTAGTATCACCACCTACCGTATATAAGCGGTCACGATTGTTCCTGCGCGCGGGCCGCCGCGGACGACAACAACAACAACAACAGCCTGTTCTGCTAGCATCTATGACAAATACGACATACGCATATACGCTCTCCTATGACACTGCACTATTTGTCATAGAAAGATTCTTCCTATGACAAATATTGTGTACTGTGTTGTGGCGCATCATATGAGTTTAGGAGCGCTATTATGAACACAAGCAGTGAATTTTAGCTGTAATGCGAAACGAAGTTGACTCGCCAATATGTTTATCATAAGAAGAATTTCCTAATGACAAATAGCGTCATAGGAGAGAGTATATGCGTATGTCGTATTTGTCATAGATTGCTAGCAAAACATGTTGAGAACCAACAACAACACGTCCAGTATCAGCGCAACGAACGTAAGTGGCGGCACGACGACCGCAACGGCACGGCATCGACGAACCGAAACCAGACAGCGCGGTCAACATGCCGACTTCAACAGCCGACATTCCGTAGCGCCGCCTTCTACTGTAATCCAGTGCGCGTCAGCGTGCAAGACAGCGTCACGGTCGTGCGGCCAACTAGCGAAGGCTACTGATTCGATCGCGGAACAGATCACAGCTTATTAACTTAAAAGTAGCCGAGACGTATGAAAAAGCTCTGTGGAGGAATAGGACGAGAGACGAGAGAAACAGAAGACACGGCCCGCGCACAGTGGCAGCCGCATGTTTGATTCTTGCTAGCGCCTACTCTTACTGACACTCTACGTAAGTAGCGCGTAGACAGTAAACGTTTACTAGAAGACAGCCAGACAGACAAGATATATAGATAGATAGATAATAAATAAATAAATAAATAAAATATATATACAGATAAATAGATAGATAGATAGATAGATAGATAGATAGATAGATAGATACATTAGATAGATAGATACATTAGATAGACTAGGATATCATAGATAGATAGACTAGATAGATAGATAGATAGATAGATAGATACATAGATAGAGAGATAGATAGATTAGATCTAGATAGATAGATAATCGATAGATAGATAGGATGGATGGATGATAGATAGATAGAGCAGATAGATGGATGGATGGATGGATGGATGGATAGAGCATAGATGACAGATAGATAGATAGTAGACGACAGACTAGAATAG